GGCCATGGAAGAGCTAAGTCATGAGGCCTTGGCGCTGTCGTGAAGCAGTATCGAAACTTCATGCGAAGCCGATTCGCAATCAGCAAAACCAACTGATCACAAGAGGGGTTACCACACCTCGCGATTGGTAAGACGTGTATGGTTTACGGGTTTGGTTACCACACCTTGCGATTAAAGGGCCGAGGGGGTTCTCGCAGTTTGGGTTACCACGCCTTGCGATGGATCTGCGTGAGGGGTGGCACCGAATTTCAGAAATGTGGCAAATCCCCTGTGTTTCTGGACCCTGACCCCGCGGATCTGCGTAAGGGGTGGCGCCGAATTTCAGAAATGTGGCAAATCCCGTGTGTTTTTGAACCCTGACCCCGCGGATCTGCGTGAGGGGTGGCGCCGAATTTCAGAACTGTGGCAAATCCCTTGTGTTTTTGGACCCTGACCCCTCGGATCTGCGTGAGGGGTGGCACCGAATTTCAGAAATGTGGCAAATCCCTTGTGTTTTTGGACCCTGACCCCGCGGATCTGCGTGAGGGGTGGCACCGAATTTCAGAAATGTGGCAAATTCCTTGTGTTTTTGGACCCTGACCCCGCGGATCTGCGTGAGGGGTGGCACCGAATTTCAGAAATGTGGCAAATCCCATGTGTTTTTGAACCCTGACCCCGCGGATCTGCGTGAGGGGTGGCACCGAATTTCAGAAATGTGGCAATTCCCATGTGTTTTTGGACCCTGACCCCGCGGATCTGCGTGAGGGGTGGCACCGAATTTCAGAAATGTGGCAAATCCTTGGAGCGCCTTGTCCTGGACCCGCGGATCTGCGTGAGGGGGTGGCGACTCCGATTTCAGAAATGTAGCCAATCCCTTGTGTTTTTGGACTCTGACCCCGCGGATCTGCGGAGGGGGCACCGAATTTCAGAAATGTGGCAAATCCAATGTGTTTTTGGACCCTGACCCCGCCGATCTGCGTGAGAGGTGGCGCCGGATTCTAGAAATATGGCAAATCCTCTGTGTTTTTGGACCCTGACCCCGCGGATCTGCGTGAGGGGTGGCGCCGAATTTCAGAAATGTGGCCAATCCCTTGTGTTTTTGGACCCTGACCCCGCGGATCTGCGTGAGGGGTGGCGCCGAATTTCAGAAATGTGGCAAATCCCCTGAGTTTTTGGACCCTGACCCCGCGGATCTGCGTGAGGGGTGGCGCCGAATTTCAGACATGTGGCCAATCCCTTATGTTTTTGGACTCTGACCCCGCGGATCTGCGTGAGGGGTGGCACCGAATTTCAGAAATGTTGCAAATCCAATGTGTTTTTGGACCCTGACCCCGCCGATCTGCGTGAGAGGTGGCGCCGAATTTAAGAAATATGGCAAATCCCTTGTGTTTTTGGACCCTGACCTCGCGGATCTGCGTGAGGGGTGGCACCGAATTTCAGAAATGTGGCAAATCCCCTGTGTTTTTGGACCCTGACCCCGCGGATCTGCGTGAGGGGTGGCGATTTCGAGCCCCCCCAGCAATTCAGACAACGAGCCCAGGAGACGCTAAAATGCCACTTTGGGCCTCCCCCCCCCTCGCGCGGTCAATCAACTAGTTACAGTAACCAGCAATAAGTCAACTAGTTACAGTAACCAGCAAGAAGCAGAACTGTAACACTGGAAACTACAAGCTACACCTGGTACAGGAAACTGCGAACCTCGCTCCTACAGCCTGGTGGCCCCACAAGGGGGCCGGCGGATTTACATGGTTTCGGGCCCCTTTACCACCCCTCCAGGGGGGCCCCGCCTGAGCGAGGAGGGTATCGGAACACAATGCTGGTTACATGGTTTCGTGATCCTCCCACCCCTCCAGGGAGGAGGCCCCGTCTGAGCGAGGAGGGTATCGGAAACCCACACTATTTAAATGGTTTCGTGCCCCTCCCACTGGCATGGGTGAGGAGGAGGGGAGAGCATTACCTATCCATCTCACGTCCTGCTCCTCCCGCTGAGGAGGGTGAGGATGAGAGGGGGTTCTGCGATGAGGAAGGCTTCATCATGATGATGGTGATGACGATGGTTATGCTGCTGTTCACGATGACGATGGCGATTTTGGTGATGGGCGATGACGATGGCGATAACGGCGATTATGATGATTATGCGGATGATGATGACGATGATGATGATGGCGATGACGATGACGATGATGACAACGACGACGACGACGAGGATGATGATGCAGATGCTGGTGATGATGAAGATGCTGCTGCTGATGCTGACGTTGCTGGTGCTGTAGATGATGATGACGACGATGATGCTGATGATGATGACGTCCACGAAGGTGCGGACCATGATGATGCCAAGGACGGTGATGGTGATGATGATGCTGATGACGATGATGATGACGATGACGATGATGGCGACGACGATGATGATGCTGATGATGACGATGACGCTGACGATGATGATGATGCTGATGATGCTAATGGTTATGATGATGCCGATGATGCCGACGATTATGATGATGATGATGATTGATGATGATGATGATGATGATGGTGATGCCGATGATGATGGTGATGCTGATGATGCTACTGATGCTGATGACGATGGTACTGCTGCTGCTCTTCACCATCATCCATCTTATCCTCTTTCTCCTCCTCCCCCTCCAGGAGGGTATCGGAAACAATGCAGTTTACACGGCTTCGTGTCCCCCCCCCTCCACTCCTCCAGAGAGGCCGCGCTTGAACGAGGAGGGTCGCGGAAAGCATTACTCTTTACTAGGTTTCATAGCCCTCCCCCGTTCCAGCGGGGCCCCGCCAGAGCGAGGAGGGTATCAAGAAACCGTACTATTTACAAGGCTTCGTTTCCTGAGCACCTGTCCTCCCTCCTCCTTTCTTTCGTCTGCCCTTTCGTGCGTAGTTACTCGGTCGATGAGCTTCTCCTTCGTGTTGATGTTGTCGTACCCCATGGGTCCCACGAAACCGTTAATATCTTTATGTGGGGAATTCCGTTCGCATAATTGGTCAAGAATCCGCCTGTACGGGCACGCCCGATCTAACACCAGGGAGCGGGGGGGGGCCGCGCCGTCCCGCGGGCCTCCCAGCGTTCCGTCGACGGTTGTGGGTCCAGGGAGAGGAGCAGAAGGCACGGACACATCTAGCCGTCGGTTCCCAAGAGAGTGCAGGGAAAGAGGGGAAGTGGGGGGGAGTCCCCCCCCTTCTCCCTCCTCCTCC